CCACCACTGGCTCTGCACCCATTTACCTAAATTCATTACTTCAGAGTTATGTGCCCTCTAGAAGCTTGCGTTCTGTAAGTGAACGGCGTATTATTGTGCCATCTCAAAGAGGCACAAAATCACTTTCACAGACTTTTTCATTAAGGGTCAAGATCATTATCTGCATCTCCTGCTCTCCACCAAACCACTCCCATAATAGCTGTCAGCACTCAAATTAATGCACGACTCTACATTATCTGTATAGCATGTGTGTAAGACTCGAATACAATTATGAAGTAATAATTTTATGACGAATAAATCTTTCAGTGAGTAAAACTGGCTGTGTCTATAGTATTAAAGACTACACAACATTATCATATTATCTTTCAATTACTTTTTAAATGATTATTATTTTAAATTATTGTCCCTGGATTAGTAGGGTACTCTTGTAATAAAGTAGCGGTGGTAGCGGACAGATTTTAAGTATCAATTCTGCTTAAAAAGATGCAATCTAATCCTGTATACATGAAATAAGCCTGCTCCCGAGCAGGTTTAAGCTTACGGACCTGTTGCTAAGACAGCAACTTCGGGATGAGCTTCGAAGAACCAAACTATCCAAGATCATGCCAAATCATCAACAATCAAATCCAGCTAACTGAGTTAGCGACCTATGAAGAACGGGCCCCAGATTTAGACAAGGCGACTTTTTCATTGGAGAAAGCTATATTAAGAATAGAGGACTCTTATTTTAGCCGAAAGGAATTCTTTGAAGTTAAAAACATCTTAATGATGGATTTGTTTATTTACAAACATCTTTTTGCTTCACAAGATGTTAATGGACTGGAGTTGTGTGGATTACTGGTGAATTATTGCGGTGTTTTTATTAGCTGTTTGGATTCTCATTTTGACGGCACCCATTCACTGCAGAGGATCCACTGGTGAGCAAATGATAATACTGAATTTCTCCAAATATGTTCATCTTGGATGGACCGAGGGTGAGTAAATGTTCAGCAAGTCTTCATTTTTGGGTGAACTGGTTTTTAATGGTCACATGACATGCAGAGAGACACAAAATATGTCATGTTTTCTAATAAGTGTTTTATTATGATTGTTTTTATTTTAAAATGAATTATTTACTGATCAAATATTAATCTGTTTTTATTTTATTTTTATATTTAGGTGTTGCTGGATGCTGTGCCAAGTCCACCATAGCACCTCTTGATAGAGTGAAAATTTTACTACAAGCTCAAAATCCTCATTACAAACACCTTGGTAAGTTAAATCCAAAATGTTTCGGATAAACAGATATTTTTGTGCAACTTGATTTGAAAAAGAACTATGCACCAAACGGTTGAACATGATGTTATCTTGTGTGCTTTTTCAGGAGTGTTTGCCACACTTAAGGCAGTGCCAAAAAAAGAGGGTTTCCTTGGACTATACAAGGGAAATGGAGCCATGATGATCAGGATTTTCCCATATGGAGCCATTCAGTTTATGGCTTTTGATAACTACAAAAAGGTTACCTTTGTTTCATAGTCATTATGTACTAATGCCAGTCTTGGGGAATAACAAACTAAACATAGTGACATTCCTAACATAATTATATTTTTAGTAGCGTGACAGTTGTTCAGAATATCATAGCTTTTCCAGTACTACTTCTGCGGCCGTAAAAATAGGCAATAATCAAACACAATCTCCTAAACTGTCCTCTCAAGTAAAGCACTAATCTGATTCATTTGAAAGATTTGGTTAATTCATGATTTATTTGAGTGATCCAGTTCAAAAAAAGAATTCACAAATTTATTTGAGAAGTTGAGGTAGTTTATTTTCCACTTTTTTAGTAGTTGTATTCATTGTAAATGTATCTCTGCAAATGAGTTTGTTCTTGACTAAAAAACAAAAAAAAACTACTCATTACAAATGAGTAATGAGTAAAATCAGTTACTTTATCTGATGGTTATATATTTGAAATTGCTACTGTATATATAGTCACCTTAAACCGCTTCAGCTTCCTCAGTTTACTACTTTTTGTCAGTAGCTTAACTTTTTTTTATTGCAGTACCTTGTAGCAATTTTAGTGTAGCTTCCCTAAGTTTAATGTTAACAATACAAAGTTTTGTACTAATGCCAGTTGTACACTGTGTTTAGATTTGTTTATGCTTGCAGTAAGCTGTTTCTGATGTACTTTCAGTTCCTTAACACACATCTTGGAATATCTGGGCATATTCATCGGCTCATGGCAGGATCTATGGCAGGTTTGTGATTGTTTTCCATGACTCTTTTCCAAGATCTTTGTAACTTCATGATAAGCATTATGTCTTTATCTGCATTGTACGCTTTCTGTAGGGATGACTGCAGTTATTTGCACCTATCCACTCGATGTTATCCGAGCTCGCTTGGCGTTTCAAGTGACAGGAGAGCATCGCTACACTGGCATACGAAATGCCTTTCAGACTATTTACCTTAAGGTATGAAGACAGGAAAGAAGTTTAGTTGAGAACCTTTCTGTGCTTCCGTTTTGCATGACAGTGTGTTATCTTTAAAGGAAGGAGGAATCTCTGGATTCTACTGTGGTCTGACCCCTACAATCATTGGCATGGCTCCATATGCAGGTTATTTTCTTGTTTGTTTTATGTAAAATATACAATACAATGTGCAAAACTGAAAAACACTTTAGCTTACGTCCTCATGTCACTGTTTTTGCTCTGTTTCAGGCTTTTCTTTTTTTACATTCGGTACATTGAAGACTCTGGGACTCACTCGCTTCCCAGAGCTCCTAGGCAAGCCGTCTCTTGACAACCCTGATGTTCTTGTGCTGAAGACTCACGTCAATCTGATGTGTGGTGGAGTTGCTGGAGCAATTGCTCAAACTATATCGTATGTTTATTTTTTTTTTAATTCTTTGTTTATTAGGTACTGTTTGTAGTACAACCTGTACGTTACTGTACGTTTGTGTTACTGTACGTACATACTACATTCTTTCTAATATTTCTGCACAGATATCCACTAGATGTTGCCCGGAGGAGAATGCAGTTAGGTGCGTCACTCTCTGATTTTGACAAATGTTGGTGAGTATTATATAATTTGGATGATTTTAAGTCTTTGTTTCCTCAATGATTTACACTGGTAAAAATGTTAAGTAAATTATAAAAAAGGTACTGCTTTGTTAATAGGGATGTATAAGTATTAAAATCTGACTGATAGTTATTTTTATATTATGGCAGATAACCTCTATAAATAAATATATATACTGTATACACACACACACACACACACAAACTACATGTCAAAAGTTTGGAATAATTAATATGTTTTGTTCTTTATTCTCATCAAGGCTGCATTTATTTGATCAAAAATACAGTAAAAACAATAATATTGAGAGATTTTTTACCATTTAAAATAACTGTTTTGTATTTTAAAACACAATTTATTCCTGTGAGGCAAAGCTGAATTTTCAGTAGTAGTTACTTCAGTCTTGAGTGTCACATGATCCTTCAGAAATCTGCTGATTTGCTGCTCAGGAAACATTTAGAAACATTTTCATGTTGAAATCAGTTGTGATACACTACCATTTAGAAGTTTAAGATACGTTTTTATCCTGCAAGGATTCATTAAATTGATAACTGTGAAATCATATAATCTTACAAATTTTTTTTTTTGAATAAATACTATTTTTTTAACTCTTATTAAAGAATGCAGAAAAAAATCAGTTTCTACAAAAAATATTACACAGCAAAAACAATTTTTTTAACATTGGTACTAATATATATATATATATATATATATAAACACTTGTCCCTTTTAGACTTTCACTCTATTCATTTGCTGCTTGTTTTCTTTAAAAAAAAAAAAAAAATATATATATATATATATATAGCAGTTTGATCTCCTCTGCATGTTAAACTCAAAATTCCCATCAAGTTTTGTCTGTGATCATTAATATGTTTTCTACTTTATTTTTTATTTAGCAGCAGCCTCACAAAAACTCTCAAGCATGTGTACACCCAGTATGGTGTCAAGAAAGGACTGTATCGTGGCCTGTCCCTCAACTACATCCGCTGTATACCGTCACAAGCTGTTGCCTTCACTACTTACGAGTTCATGAGGCAAATTCTTCACCTAAACTAGAACAATCAGTGACTAAGCCTTAAAGGAACGTGTTGAAACGACCCGCAGCGACATCACAGCAGTCCTGTCTGCCATTCCAGAGACCAGTCATCTGAAATCCAGTTCTTACTAAACACCCACACAAACGGCAAACCTGTGGCTTTGCACAGCCCAGCAACAATCACTATGGATACAGAGACAAAAGCTTGCTTTTCCGTTCTGTGTGGATCAGAAACAACGACACTGGAAATCCCATGAAAACCTGCGTCTGAAACTTGCTTGTAAGAAGCCGTCCCATTTCAGATCGAACAATATGCCTTAATCTTTCACTCATATAAGCAAAACACAAAATCTCAGTCGATTTGACCTATGTGGACAGTTTCTCTAGGTATATCACAATGCTTTTAACTATGACTGATGAAGTGATTTTTAAGTCAAATATGGAAGTTGATTTTTCTTTGCTAAATTTCATTCATATATAGCTTTATATTTCAGCAAATCTGAGTCACCTCAAGTCTTATTGACTGATATTTGTCTCTTTTTGTGATAAAGATGACTTTCCTCTGCAATTCAATAATACAGTGAATGAAAGAGAGTGTACATAATGTCTATGCAGTATTCAGTCATGTTTGCATGCCGGTGTTACTGTGGCTCAAGTTTAATATCTGATTGATGCCTTACAGTGCAGGTTAATTCACAATCTCCCTTTTGGAAGAAAGCAATCAAATGCGAATATGTGTGGTGATGAATATCACAGCTGATATGTATATGAATCTTAAATTATTGTTCACTGATTTGTGATAGGAACTACATGAATCCCTTAAATAGACTTTCACCAGGCCAGATTAAAATTAATTTTTTGTTTTTTTATATATATAAAATTGATTTATTGTTTTGTTTTGTATTGTATGGAAATGTGCTCCCTCAAACGGTTGCCTCATTTGCCTTCCGGTTGTAATTACTTGCTTTTTTGTTGTTGTTGCCATGTGGTGGCAGTGTTGCAGTGAATCGAGTCCTTAAACCTCTTTAAATTAGACTTTTCATGAACATGTTGATCGTGTAGCGGCATGTGTTTCCAAAGATGAAAGGGAACATTTATGTGCGTACATTCAACAACGACTGATACAGTTTTATTACTGAGTGAATACGTGAGTTGTGAAGGTCATGATTCATTGATCACATTTCAAGTTTATTTGCACTAAATGCCATCAAGCTAAATCATTAGAATGGGAGGATTGTCTTAAACTTATCTTTGCTGATTCTTGAGAACTGTGGAGAAAGTTTGTCTTGCTGCTTTGGATAAATCGCCTTTATTATTTATTTGTGTTATATTGGTATAATGAATGGATATTATGTCAGATTGAAATGGTTAATAGGCATTGAACAAATTAACAATGAGGATACTTGTTTTGTAAATGTGATTATTAATTTGTATGTATGTTTAGATGAAATGTAAATGTTAGACCAATATCTTTGGAAATAAAAATAAAGGCTTTTTTGTCTTGTGCTAGAGTTTCTCTTGATTGCTTTCATATAATTCAAATATGATTGATGAATTGCCAGTAAGTATTTGCATGATCCCATTTTACACTATTTGTCATCCAGTGGGATTTTCCTATAGTTCCCTCATTTTTGTTTGGAAATGCATTTACTATGAAACACCTCCCACCTAGCAATTCATTTGCATTTATTTCCTCCTAAGTTTGTAAGGTACTGTTGTTTGATAACGCCTTATTTGACTGGAAAATATGTTGCAAACAAAACACTGGTTATAGTGTATGTCTGTCTTATCATGTTACCATGCAAGTCATAAAAAAGCAGAGCTCACTGGCCAGTGGCTTTTTGGCCTTCTGTTCTTTGAATAAAATAGTTATTCTAGGGCCATTAAAGGACTTTATACTGCTTTATATATGGTTTATATACTCATATACAAAGGTTTAGGGGCAGTATGGGTTATTATTATTTTTAATTAAAATTTTTTTTAAAGAAATTATACTTTATCTATGATACTGAAAGAATTTATCATGGTTTTCACAAAACCAGTGCAACTGTTTTCAACTGATAATAAATGTTTGCTGAGCAGCAAAACAGCATACTGGAATCATGAGAATCATGTGAAGCTGAAGACTGGAGTGGTGGCTGCTGAATTCAGCTTTGCATCACAGTAATAAATTACATTTTAAAATATATTAAAATAAAAAACAGTTGTTTTTTATTGTAATTATATTTATATTGTAAATTGTAATAATACTGCATTTTTTATCAAATAAATGCAGCCTCGGCGAGAATAAAATATTTAAAAAAATGTAAACACACACACACACACACACACACACATATATATATATAACACTAGTATTTTCAGCAGCTAAAAGATGGTTTAAAGTCAGTTATTTCTGTCTTTTGCTGTAGTGTGTCGATAGGAAATATCAGTTTACATTTCCAAACATTAATTTTGCCATTAATTGTAATAATCCAGTGAGATTTTTGTCTGACAACAGCCAGTGCTCCACACAGAGATCTAATCTCATCATCATCCAGTCTGTCTGGAATGACATGAAGAAACAGAACAAACTGAGACGGACTAAATCCAGTGTGGCAGTGTCTCCAAGATGCTTCAGGATGTATATTTATATATATTATGAGGCAAAGATATTATATATATATATTATTTTTTTATTTTTTTTGCAAATTGCAAATTTGGTTGTATTCATCAGCAGAATGTGAGCTGGTACACCACAAGGTACATACCCCAAAACCTTGCAAACTATCAAGACCAACTAATATTCAAAAATAAGCATGAAGCAACCGCTCACTCTAAGTAAAACACTTGGCAAGCCTTGAAGATAAACGAGAACTAAAATATCTGATAAGCAAGCCAGGCAGAGCATCTTAAAAACTGTGAAGTGTAGAGTGACGTACTGACACATAAATCAACTATCACATAATAAACTGTCACTATTGACATAAATTAAATTCATAAATAAACTGCATAATGCCGTTCACACACTTCTTGAAACAAGAAACTAGGTCAAAGCCTACCGCAATGCCAATCAAGAGAACATCTATAAATTTCCGTGTATGTGTGAAGTTTGTGGCTTGAGCGAGTCAGTTAGAGAGAGAATGGGAGAGGGGGAGAGAGAAGAGGAAATGCAGTCTGCGTGCGACTCTTGAAAAGTCCATTTGAGTTCAGTTGCAGAGCTGATCTCCAGCTTGACGAAAATGCCCAACTACACAGTGACTGTCGCCACAGGCACTCAGTGGTTTGCTGGAACAGACGACTACATTTATATGACCCTGGTGGGATCTGAGAGATGCAGTGAGAGAACCCTTCTGGACAAACCCCTCTATAATGACTTTGAGAGAGGAGCGGTAAGATACTAACAGTCTTTGCCTAAGAACGCAATTATATTAGACCTTTGAGCTCCTTTTGACAAGTTTGATTCATTGCGAATTATAATGTGCAAATAATAATTGAATTATATTGCATAAGTGAATTGCCTTATTCTTTGTGAATTAAAATTGTAAACTTTTTTTTAATGCTTTGGCATTCTTTCTTTTATGGCTGTTGATTAATTTGAGTCAAAACACAAGCTAAATGACTTATGAGTTATATGTCTTGACTCTTGATGACACATGCAGTACACTTTTACGCTGTAAAAAATGAGTTGTTTTAAAGTTGTCAGAAAAAAATATATTCTTTTACAAGAAAATACCATTTCAGTGTTTCTAATTCAGTGTGTCACTTGCCGATTCTATTATTTGTATGACATGTGTGGCGCACTTATATATTACAACCTCTTTAATTATTTAAATCAAACCACAGTCCTTGTTCAGTATCTTTGAAGTAGTCATGCAGTGTATCTCTAAGGAAGTCAAATCATTAAGTGTCAGATAAAAAAAATAAAAGATAAAAATCAATGATCATTTACAGGAAGACAACTATGTGTGTTTTTTTTGAGTCAATGAATTCTAATCTAACATAAGGTGTAATTCAAGGTGGACTCATATGACATCAGTGTGGGAGAGGACCTGGGTGAAATTGAGCTGGTGAAAATTGAAAAGAAAAAATACTGGATGCACGATGACTGGTACTGCAAATACATCACGGTGAAGACACCCTATGGAGATTATATTGAGTTCCCCTGCTTTCGCTGGTTAGTTGATGACAAAGAGGTGATCCTCAGAGATGGAAGGGGTATGTTCTGATTGGCTTGTACATTTCTTCCTGTAATAAAAGCCTAAACTTTACCTTAAAATAAGGTTTCAATGCTTGCTGTGTTTCAGCTCGATTGGCACAGCATGACAAGACCGGAGTGGCAAAACAGCACAGGCGAAAAGAACTAGAACAGAGACAGAAGACATACAGGTTTGATGCAACTTTCAGAAAGAGGTTAACCACTGTAGCAAATTTGTATGCTTTCCTCATAAATGCACGTGTGGTCAAGTCTGATTTCATCATAACAGACCATTATGATTCATATATACTGTTTACTCTTTACCCTGGTTTAGGAAATAATTTTGTGCATTTAGGTTTCACATTGTACCTTTGTATATCCCGGGTTGCCAGTGTTACACTGTCATTGTTTGGATGAATGATCAGAACGCAACTTATTTAACGTCTTGTGTAACTTAGCTTTGCCAGGTGCGTTTATAATTCTGACTGTACCATCCAGTTTTCCTGAATACACTGTTCTGACAATAACTGAATCGCTCTTATCGCAACAATTAACATTTATTCCGTCATTGTTTGACGTGTTGATTCTCCCTGAAGCCCTGAAACAAAATACAGCGCGTCAAAGTTTCTGTTTCTGCAAAGCTCATGAATATTTAATGAGGCAAGCGCCGTACAGTTTATGATTTGTTGTTGCTAAACCAGTTCCACGATTTTATAGACCGTAAACCCAGAGTAAAAACGAAAATGACAAGTGGGGTTACACAGAGTTCACCCACAAATGAAACTTCTGTCATCATTTACTCACCCCCATGTCTTTCCAAACCTGTATTACTTTTGTTCTTCTGCAGAACACAAAAAAAGTAAACATATTACATAATTATTTAGATAAGCCTATTTAGATACTTTGAAGAATGGCATGAGGGTGTATAAATGAAGTGTTATTTTTGAATGAACTGTCTGTCCCTTTAGAATGAGTGTTTAAAAAGACAATTACCCAGGTTTGAGCTAGTCTGAAAAGTCCTTAAAGGATAGTTAACCCACAAATACAATTTCTCTCATCATTTACTCAACCTCTTGTGGGTTCCAAACCTAATTTGGACTAGTTTGACTAAAAACTCATGGGACTGAATCTGGGACCTTTGCCAATTTGCCCCTTGCCACCACTGCCACATGTCTGACCATACTGCCCAGAAAATCCTGTTTTTAAATGTGGAACCTTTCATTTATTGCATAATAATGACAATATGATTTGGTGCTGATATAATAGACTGAATTTTAAAACATGATGATGTGCTTGATGTTGAAGATGGAAGGAGTGGCACCCTGGCTTCCCTATGAGCATAGATGCCAAAGCCCACAGTGAGCTTCCACGAGACATTCAGTTTGATAGCGAGAAAGGAGTGGACTTTGTGCTCAACTACAGCAAAGCGTAAGATTCTTTTTATTTGATGACTATGCATATTTCATTCTTGAATACCGTTTTTACTGCTCTGTGCTGTCAGACAGCTGTTATTTCCATAAAGTGACCGTGTGTTTGTATTTATGCACATTTGCATGTTTCTTTCAGAATCTGTTTGTCTTTTGCATGTATCAACGAGGTCTGAACACAAACATGCATTGTCTTTGTGGTATTGTACATTTGCACAGACTTTAAAGAACTGTGATGGCCTGTGCTCATGTAAAAGTGTGACTGTTAAAAGGGGGAAATGACAGATTCGGTAGATTGTGTTATTGATCTAAATAGTTTTGAGAAGTGTCGTTCTCAGTGGCATGCATACATGTGTTTACCACCCATATCTGCAGGCACAGTGACAGTTAGATTATCACAACAAGAAGTCATTTTTAAAGTATGAGGTCCAATACAGAATGTGGGAAAAGACTGTGAGAAAGCTTGGACTGCCATTGTGAAAAACAAGTGCTTAGTACTTATACTTCATTTTTATTTATTTGCAGATAATTTAATATTAATGATCTAAACTAAAATATGAATATATTAATTCACTTTGTAAAACATTGCATTAAATTGGAATATGTTTACCATTGCAGTCCACTAGCCATTTCAAAGAAAATAGAAGCAATTATGAAACTATATATAAAGATGTACTTAAGTCCTACTTAAATGGGTACAAAAACACTTTTAACTAATTGAGTTTAATATTTATTTGAATATTTAATTTATTTGCTAATAAAATGCAAATAACTGTCTAAAAACATTACATTTAGTACATTGAATATATTCTTTGGAAGTGTATTATTTCTGTAAGAAATACTCTTATTAAAAAGTATGCTCAAACTTCTTTTTCACAAGGGTAGACTATCCAAGTAAATCT